TTTAGGTGGGAGATGTGATTTTCCCCAGCTGAAGATTTAACCAGCATGTCGTCGATGTATACCTCCATGGTTTTTCCGAGCTGTCCGGCGAACATTTTGTTCACGAGCCTTTGGTAGGTAGCTCCTGCGTTTTTTAATCCGAATGGCATTACCTTGTAACAGTAGGTTCCGCGTTCGATTATGAACGCAGTTTTTTCTTGATCTTCAGGATTCATCATGATTTGATTATATCCCGAGAAGGCATCCATAAAGGACAAGAGCTGATGGCCAGCTGTCGCTCCAATTTCACATACTTCATTTGTCCCATCATCTTCATAAGCGTCTCATCACACTCAAGAACCTGCTCCGGAATAACGGGTGGAGGTGGTGGAAACTAAAAACCCCCTTGAACCTGCTGCGCGGGAATCTAGTGATCCTGCTGAACCTGAATTGGCGGGGCCTGCTCCATATGAATCTGCGGACCATGCTGCACCTGAACCTGAGGACCATGAGGACTCTGCTGAACTGCAGCCATCTGCCTAGAAACCTCCTGTGCTGCTACCCTTGTAGCTTCTTGGGCGGCCTGTCTAGCTCGCTCTTGGGAAACCTGCTGAACTGCTTCCTGAGCAGCTTGTCTAGCTGCATCCTGCACCATCTCTCTCTAAGCGTCCTGATCAATCGGTGGGGGTGGAGGTGCAGATGCAGGCTGCGGAATTGTGGGCTGCACATGCTCATCTCCAGCCTCTCAAGCAGCTCCAGAAGTCTCATTACGAACAACTCTCAATCTCGGCGGCATCTGAAAGGGGAAACAAACCGGTTAACTTCTATCAAATGACAATTTCAAACAGTCAAGAGAGTGATACCAGACATAAAGGTGCTATTAATTTTTATTTTGAATATTCCCAATTCTCCACACAAAAAAAAAATTTCTTTCAGAATCGTGAAAAACCGAATTAAAAATCCGACTTAAAATTGAAATCTCCACGAATCGCCATCCCAGGTCAAAGCCGGGACGGGACCACGCTCTGATACCAAAAATGTGACACCCATCATTTTTAAACCGATAATAATAAAATAAATGAATAATAATAACATAAATCTCCATTAAAAAATACTGAAAAGTCAACATCCACGTCGTAAATACACAATACAACATAACATCCGAAATATAAATAATAACATAGTTCGAAAGTATGAAATAGGATATAAAATAAACAATAAAATTCCAAAGACCTATAAGTCCAATAACAATAAAAGCGATAAAATGATAAAGGCCCAAAAGTGATGAAAGCCCAAAGCCTGATAGCACCGGTCCGATATAATCACTCATGCTCATCGGTCTCACTTGAAAGGGGGGGAAGAAGGAGGGGTGAGCAACATGGGAGTCGCTCAGTGAGCTATGGTATGCTACACCACCAAACCACTAACTAAGGTCATAGCACTACAAAGACGTTGGCCTAGCTCTAGCATGAAACAAACACGGCGTCTACTACACCACACAGAACAGTCAACATACGTCTAGTGGACTAGACATTCTACAACCAATGCGATGATAACATATCGCACTTCCTCTTAAGGATATACGTATATAACTCCACAGGTGCCGTAAGTACAATAGTCCACTCTGTACCCCCACAAACACTAAGGCATCATAAATACAAACGTCTCTGTTGCCCCGCAAATCTCCTCAAACATAGGCGTCGTAAGCACAGACGTCATGTGCCTCCGCAATCTCCTCAAACATAGGCGTTGTAAGTACAAACGTCTCTGTATCCCCGCAATCCCACACATGGACTCGTATATATATACATATATCTAATAATTCTTAACATCAATCATTTTACACAATCGTGGAATCCTCTATTATCCTAATTCCGGTTTAACAAGCAATAATAATAAATAAATAAAGAACTCCCAAACAGACTCGATTAATAGAGACGGAACATGTTTCGAAACTAAACTTTCCATAGTGGTAGTACTAATCTAGTTCGGGATTTAACAGAGTAGCCCTCGCCTTACCAATTAAGAGAAGTGGTGTCTATGAACTCCAGCTACTGAAATTGACTCCAAATCTGAAACCATGACGAAAAATCGAGTCAGAACGCCCTTCGAACGGTTAGAAAATGGTCTGGTCAAAGTCTACGGAAAAATCAACCCGTTGGGTCAAAGGTCAACCCAGTCAACCCTTGACCAGAAATCAATTTGACTTAACCGATTTTGAATTGAATTGAACCAGATCCTAATTAATTGCAAATCCGTTTATCCTAATCGAGAATCAATTTGTAATAACCATCCGGTTTACTCAAACCAAAATCAATTAGTTTAATTAACCGGTTTAACCCTAACCGATTTATAATTAATTTAACCCTAACCAAGTTGTCCGGTTGACTCGCCGAGTCAACTCGGCCGAGTTACCCGATTCACCGGGTCCGGTCACCTGCCGGGAAGAAGAGACGGCGGATTACCGGTGGTTCATCGGCAGCGGCACACGGACGGCGGTCGGCTATGGCGGCGGAGCTGGCGGCGCGTGTTCTCCACGCGCTTGAACGGTGTAACTTCAACGGTCACGTGCGGATTCGTCTGAGCTCCGATTTTGGGTGGTCGGTGTCTATGGCTTCGTCTCGACAAGTGGAACACGGTGGTAGCCTTGAATGCACGAGATTCTCGACGGTTAGGAAGTTAGGGACGATTTAATAACGGCTCAAAACTAACTCAAAAAGATGGTGGTTTCCGGTCATTACCTTAGGCGGAAAGTAGTGGTGACGAGCTCAGTCTGTTCCTCGTGTGTGTTGGCTCCGGCGACGACTTCTGGTGCCTCAATCTCTGCATGCAAACACCAGTCTCTCTCTTAAAACTTTTTTTTTCTCTCTAACTTTTTTTTTGTAGGTTTGGTGAATAAAACAAAGCTGAGAATGGGTATTTATAATTCACTGCCTTGGGCCTGGGGAAATGAATTTGGGCCTGGAGTTTGTGGATCATTACAGTAACATTAGAAAAAAAAAAAAAACACGTGTTCTTAAGGGGTTATTTAAAGTGTGATTCCTGTTTTTTTTTATATACGTCAACACTTGTTATTGATGAGTGAATTTGACTATGAAAAAGCAGACCAGTGGAGATTCTGGTGCAAACGTGAAGAGGCTTGAGCAAGAGACTGATGCCAAGATCGAGCGCTTCGAGGATATTGCTATTGATTTTCATTTTGTCTCTTGAGTTGTTGTATTCATCATCTCTTAGAGCATTTGTGTTTATAATAAAATTTAGAACAAAGTCAAATTTGAGACTATACGTTTCTTTCAAAACCAAAACAAACAGTAAAATGGAGGACACAAAGCAAACTTAAACAAAAACTAGGAGTTGCATCAAATAAACTAGAAGTAAAGTAAAGACAAGATTCAACAAAAAGGTGATTAAGAACGTCTAAACCACTTGGGACAACAGGTGATTATCGATTATTATAGTACTACGGGCGGGCGAATAAATAAACTATTAATACAAATTTTGTTTTACATGTTTGATTTATTTTAACTAACAATAACATTGACATAAATTTTAACAGTTTAATTATTTATTTTACTATATATTTAAAATATAATTATTTTTCTTCAGTATTTATTCTAGTTTAAACATAACAATAAGTCACATATATTTTCTTAAAATTACAATAGATTGGATTAAGTATAAATTACAATCAATTGAATTAGGTATAGTGAAGTTATTTTTGCTTGTATATTTGTTATATGAATTAAATTATCTTTACACATTGTTTCTTAAAACTAATGATATATATGATATAATAGAAATAATTTATTCATTATAACTAAAAGATTTTAAAATATATAAAATGAAAATGTCATTTGAGATAAATAAAATAAAAATGTCGTTGATATTTATACATATACATGTTTGTTAAAATCTTATAGGTATTATTATATATCAACATAATCAATTACAATTCTGAAATATATATTACTGACTACCTTATAAAAATATAATCCTTACAATTATTTTATTATAGATAATTATATTATAACAACATATATAGAGCAAACTATTTATTTTGGTTACATTGTTTATAATATAGTTAATAAAGAGTATAAGACACTGTAAATTTATTTTATACGTTGTTTCAATCCATGCATGCATACTAAACAGAGATCGTCCAAGGAGAGTTAATTATGGTTTGGGTAAGGTTATTTATTGAACGCAGAATCATGAAGTTATATGTCATGTTAATATATGTTTAAAAAATGGGTGGGATTGGTAGCGTGTCCGTTACGTTTTTGCCAGGCCCGTTAGTAGTGTTTGGTATTACGTTTGAGTGTGGCTGGTGGCATCCTACTTGCTGTGAGCTCTCTTTTGTATGACATGTAAGTTTTTAACACCAACGAGTTTGATGCTTCCGATTTGCTGTTGCAGTAAAGTTATCATTCTTCTCCATCACTTTCACTTCCGTTCTCTAACACACTATTACGATCTTGCTATACGATAAAATGAATTTTGTAAGAAACTAAAGTGTTAATGATTGACCATTATGATTATAAGTTCTGGTTTCCTTTAGAAGTTGGAGAACTTACTCTTACGAAGTTTCAAGAATTCTTCTCTTTTCTTGTATGCCTTTTTCTTTTTTTTATATCAATTCGTTTTTTTTTTGTAGATATAGCTTCTTTATTTTTCTTTGTAAAATGTTTACAGCTTATATTCATATTATATTTCTGTCTTCCAATGATTCACTTTCGAATGAAATAGTAACTCTTTATATTATGCTCTTTCTTACTGTTTTTCCACACCTAGTATATTATTTTTGAGACTTATGCCCACCATTCAACTCACATATAAAGTAGTTAGATTACCTCGACAATGTTTTACTGAAAGTACAACATTATCAGATTTTGGCTCCAGAAAGTCCTTGTGTTCCTGAGAAAAATGATTTGTCTATGATGAATGTCGGTCGTTTTTCTTATTCATCTTTGCTTTGTGACAGATTTGACTGCAATCAGAAGCATGAGTGACAGTATAAATTGCTACTCAAACACCAGAAATTCATCAATACTAGAAACTTCAATAATAAATAGAATATAGAGAGTTCATACCAAAACAAAATAGCATATAGAGAGACAGAGAAAACAGAAGAAGCAAAAGGAAACAAAGAAATGCAAGCAACTCTTAGAATAACTATAAAATTTCTATTTATATGTGGTTGCTTAAACTCTTCTGAGATTTTAAATAGTCACTAATCCACATTTTTCACCAGCATTATAATCTGTGTATATGTTTATCAAAAGATCATGAGAAATATTAAAACGTATATGTGAACTGAACACATAAGTATGGATTTAAGAATAACTTTTTTACCAAGATATGAGTGGAGGTTTGGATAATGAAAAATCCAGTAAATCTTTGTAGTGTGATTTTTCTTACATGTACATAGATGTCCTATCTTACCTCTTGAGAGGAAGAAAGGCTGTGGAGTGAGAACGAACAGGGCCTTCGTGATCGTCAACTGGATCGTTGAAAGTACCCATCCGAAAACCCCAAAGCTGGATGACACCTCTGTGTAATTTGGCAAGAGTCCATGGTCTTCTGGAGTGGAAGGTGAGACCCTTAGCTCTGCTACTCTTTTTTCAAACCATTTCAGTGTTTCCCAGTTTACAAAAGCCCTATCTACACAAAAAGAAAAAAAATCGAATCCAGACAAATTGGTCAGTTGATAGGAAACCAAAAAAGCGCAGAAACAAAATTGTAATCCAAAGTATTTTATTGAGCATCGATAATTTTTATTAAAAAAAATAAGATCCCTGAAAGGTGAAAACGATTAAACTGACAACCGATCAGAATAAATTAATGGAGAAAACAATTAATAGCATGATTACTAGAGAAGGATTAAATGTGAGAGCAAGAGAAAAACAATGATATGCAAGAAATCTATGTAACTTTCTATTTCTTTTACATCAACAACATCATGCATAATATTGAGATTGATAAACGATTAGGATGGTTAAACATTAGGAACGCAAAGCAACAGTAAGCCAAAATTGAGTCATTCGAGCAATAGATCTACGCCTCAGTATCCTAGCAATCTCAATGAAAATAATCGAACTGAATATTACTCTTGTGCGTGACGTTAGCTTTTTTTCCGGTTTCTCTTTGGCTCTTTCAACGCCTTAGTGACCAAAGCTGGAACTGGCAAATCTGAACAGTCAACTTGTGGTGACACTAAACCATTTTCTCTCTTTCACAATATGTCGACACCGTAAACTCTTCGCTTTGCTTCACATTCCTGGCCTCACAACACCTAAGCAGCGGAGCTGGCCATTCTTATCTATGAAATTTTAAAGATCTAATGATTGAGAGGAATGAACTGATGAATTTCACAAAAAGTAACTCACCTATTTATAGTTGGAGATTCACATAATGGAAGAAGGTGGACGCATTGAATAGGAAATCATGTGAGGAGTTGGGAGATGTTAATGAAGGCGTTAATAATGACCATTGAGTGTTGTCGACATCCAATTAGACACCGCGACGGGCTCCAACAGACATTTGTCAGAAACAATCCTTGTATTTGTGTTAACAATATACAAAACCCTTTTTTTTTTCAGTCAGGCCCAAACAAAACGTGGTAAATTTAGTCGAACACAACAAACCTATATTTAAATGAAACCTGAGTTTTTGTCATAATGAGACATGTGTCACTCTTAGAATTCACTATCTGATGAAGTGGCACTCTATAAAGAAGGAAAAACCTACTTTATATATATTTATTTATTTATTTATTTATTTATTTATTTATTTATTTATTTATTTTTTCAGTTGAGGCATTTGGAAAAAAATGTTTCCAACTCAAAATATTCAAAACACATAACACTAATTGACATAAGGATGTGGTTACAAGAAATAAAAAATATATATACTAACTCATACTCATTCTTTATTTTGTATGTTTATTTTAGTTCAATCAATATATACTAAAACTATCAAATTATGTATACTTTTATTAAACACACAAAACTAAGGAAAATATTAAGAAACATTATTTTCAGCTTACTACATTTAAATTACTACAAACCCAAATACTCCCTCTATATTTGAAATATTAATGTTTTGGCTATTTCACAATAATTACTTACTTTCACTAATTATCTTCTCTATTAAAAGATAATTACAATTTTATCTACTATTAGAAAGTAATACTATGTCCATTTCATCAATTACATCTATCTGATTATTTACATTAATCTATTAAATATAAAATATTTCTAAAAATGCTAATAATAATAAGGATATTAATAATAAATATATTATAACTGCAAAAGTAAACTTTACTTTAGTTATAACAAATTCTGTTGAAAAAAATCTAACAAAATCTAACTAACTTTTAGAATAGTTTAAAATTAACATTTATTAATTAGTAATATATTATCATTATAAACTAATATTAAATAAAAATATTTTAAAACATTTATGCTATTTTTTAAATTTTATCATTATAGTCTATATTATATTAAAATAAAAGTAATATATAAATCGATACGAACATTTTATTCAGTTAGTAATTAACATATTTTTCAAAAAACCTACCAATACTATTATAGAGTTAATTATATATAAAAATAAAATATAAATCATATATTTAAAATACTTACGATAATATCAAAGTTATACATTTATAAAATAAAAAGATATATGTACAAAGTGTGCAGTGAAATCTAGTTTATTTTTTAATTTCAGTTAGTTTTTGTTTCCCAATACTCTAATTATATTCACACCATTTTATCTTTTACACTTATCAATATATAATTTAATTAACTTTTACCTAAATATCTGATATTAATAAACTTTGTAAAATATAAATTTCTCTATAAGATTACTAGGAATTTTTCTGGGCTACATCAGGATTTCTATAAAAAAAATATCACTTTTTTAATATTATAGTGTATGTTGTCTTTTTATTAAAAAATATAAATTGTAAACTAAAATTTAAAATGAGTAAACTCACAATTTATTGTTTCACTCTCTAAAATGCCACGTGGATAAATACTTCATTCATCATCAGTTATGATCCAAATACTCATCAATCTTACATATTTAGGTTCACATCTAAACCAATAGCTAGAGTCAATTTACTACAACACATATTTTATAATTGAACTTTTACATTTACGGTTTAACCAATCATCTACATACTGCAAAAAAAAAAAAAATTTAATCCTCCGTATGTTTTAAAAACCATGATTCCAACTAACATGTCTAATGAACATAATTTTAATTTTTAATGGAATATCAAATTCATTGATCAAAAAAATGAAACTGAAATTTACAAAGTGGTGATGTACTAATCTAGAACATCTCTATAATATTATTTGAGAAGTAAGTTTCTTTCGTGTCGCATTAAAGTTAACTTTTACGGTGGTTGATTACAGATGTATCATTAATAAATTAAAAATATTACATTGAATTGCTATTATTAAATTTATTTTCTTTTTTATCTGGTAGTTTCTATTAATTATATTTTAATTTATTTATTTTTATTTCCCAATAACATATATAATAAAAAATTAAAACTTTAAAAAATTTGAAAACGACATTTTTAATAATATTTATAGAAAGGAAAGTTAACCAAAATAATTTTAATATTAAGAAAAATAATAAAATCAAAGCTTATTATTTTATAGTAATATTTTATTTAGTTATATTATATATAAATTATGGATACCTCAAAGAATATAAAATACAAATAAAATATGAACTAATTTTAAAAAATTATTTTTTGGTAAAATATATATGCATGAGATTCAAAATATTATTTTATATTCCTTTACATAATTTTTAATCAACTCACACTTTAGTTTATTTTGTCTATTTTATTCTCAAAAAAATATTATGTTATACAAAATCTCACTAAAAATATTTATATATTTAAGAGAACAATCAACCAAAAGTAAAATAATTAAATTATCATAATATTAATTTATTTAGAGAAACAAAAATATTATGGTTGAGTTCAAAGAAGTAGATGCAATCTAATATACTCAAGCAATAACTAAACCGACTAGATATTACATATATATCATATGTTTAATTCAAAATATAATATTATTAATATAAATTATAAATTATATAAATTGGAAGTAAAAACTTAAACAGTTATGATAATATCTTTATTTTAAAAATATTTATATTTATGTATAAACACGAAAGAATAACCTAGTATAAATAAAAGAATGTGATTTCCTAATAGGGGTAAACATTAAACTACCTCCTGAGCAAACCCTCGAGCTTGTAGTCTTAGTAGTCGTTCCACTGGTGCACAAACACCCCCATGCCTTTTGTGTTCCTCTCTTTCCACAGCACTATGTCGAGTCTATTTTATTTTATTTTATTTTTGCAAGACCATTGATCCACAACTGCAAATTCAGTGCATGTCAAATATATATATATATATATATATATATGAATCTTTATATTTATAATGCTTTTAGAGAACTTTTAAAGAATTTTAGTCAGTTTTGGTAGATACCATGTATTTTATGTGATTGTTAGTAACATTTTTAAAGCTTACTCTATCTGAGCAAAGACTTCCAAAAATTCTGATATTATCATATACGACGTAATATATCGTATATATGTTCAGAAAATACCATAACCTTTTAATTGACAAAACCTATAATACAAAAACTATTAAAAATACATATAAGGAAATAATACTTTAAATCTTATTATATAAAACATGTGTTTTTCAAAGTTGCTAATTAATATTATTGCGACACATGACAATTATATATTTCAGATTATGACATATTTAGATAACATTTAAAAAAAAAAAAAAACTTAAACCAAAAGAATCTAAATAGTTTATTTTACTTTTTTTAATTCTTAAACAAAAAGCGTTTAAAAAAAATATTTCCATACAGCTAAAATTTAACAATATTATTTATTTTTTAAACATGGGTTTAAGATAACTACGAAATACTAAATATTTTAATATAAATTTCCTTAAAATAGAACATATTTACAAAATATTTTCTATATTTAATAGTATTTTTCTAATCAAAAATACTAAACCAAAGAGAATTATAAAACAAGTCTTATTTATATTTATATATTTAATTATAGTATTCCTTTTACAAATTGCTAATTAATATGATTGTGACACATGAATTATATATTTGATATTATGACATGTGTTACATAAAATTTCATTTAAAAACGAATTAAACCAAAAGAATCTAAAAACTGAGTTTTCCTTTTATTTAAATTCTTTAATTTTTAAAAAATTATTTAAAAACGTTTTTTTAAATATTTCCATATAACTTAAATTTTAACAATCGTATTTGTTTTTTAAAACGTGGGTTTAAGATAACTACAAAATATTAAATTTTTTTAAGATAAATGTCCATAAAATTAAAAATATTAAAAATATTTTCTTATAAATATTTAATAGTATATTCATTTAAAAATATTAAACCAAAGATAATTGTAAAAACAATTCTTATATTTTTTTGAATTATAGTATTCCTTTTTATAGAATAATTTGAAAGGTTAAATAAAAAATATTTTTTTTTAAATAGTTACTAACTATAAGTTTGAAACTGTGGTTTTCTTTTTTTAATAATAACCTTAATTTCAAGGTCATATAAATTATATATGTTTAAAATAACTAC